CTTTTTATAGAAGGAAAAAAAATCTGACACTTCTAGAGGCTCTGTATTCTGAGCAGCTGTATAATGAGGTTCCCCTAAGATGCAAAAAACATTAGAAGAATAGTCTGCAAGAAGAATCTCCCATTAAACAGATGCTACTCCTTGAATCATTAAAAAGGCAACTGGCTTCTAACAGCTCAGGCAGACACCCAGGGTTTGTGAGGTCTTCTGTCTAACCAGACTTGAAGTGCCACTGGCTTTTAACTTCATATAGTAGCAATGATCCATACATTTCAAAAAGAAATGCTCTCATCACCTCCCCTGCCTTCTGCTGCATCAACAATAGAATAAAAAGACAGTATGGTAATGATAACATCCTTGTTTCAAGCAGTCTTCCTGCTGCAAGACAGCATCAGCTATGTTTTAAATATTTATAAGACTTGTAGGTCAGAACCAGAGGTCTCGAGTTCCAGCAGCAATCTTAAGTCTTTAAGCTAGGGCAAGGTTTTCTGTTCCTAAGTGCTTGTTATAAATCAAACAAGCTTTCAGATCAAACAGATCAGATCCAACTGGATGTATCTGAAACACAAACTAAAGCACTGTCAATGCAAACAGCAAAAACCTTCAAGGTAAGTGGTGCTGGTGAATACACCTCTGCTATGAAGACAGGCTGAGAGAGTTGGGGCTGTTCAGCCTGGAGAAGAGAAGGCTCCGGGGTGATCTTATAGCAACCTTCCAGTACTTAAAGGGGGCCTACAGGAAAGCTGGGGAGGGACTTTTTACAAGGGCAGGTAGTGATAGGACAAGGGGCAATGGATTTAAATTGAAAGAAGGTAGATTTAGATTAGATAAAAGGAAGAAATTTTTCAGTCTGAGGGTAGTGAGGCACTGGAACAGGTTGACCAGAGAAGTTGTGGATGCCCCATCCCTGGCAGTGTTCAAGGCCAGGTTGAATGAGGCTTTAAGCAACTTGATCTAGTGGAAGGTATCCCTGCCCATGGCAGGGGTGTTGGAACTAGATGATCTTTGAGGTCCCTTCCAACCCTAACCATTCTATGATTCTATGACTTTGCTTACAAAGTAATAATCAAGTTCTTTTGATCAGTACTAGAACCAAAAGCCTGCTTTCCTACTTAACAGCACTATGAATCAAAGTAATCCCTGCCTCCAGAAAAGGTGTCGTTGCAATGAATTCTATCGTACATAGGAATAATGACCACCCGAGTCCATCCACCACTGCTCCTTTCCTAAGGGACTACACAACTACTGTGCAAAACCTTCTAATACCACAACTGCTCAATTTGGTCACTACAAAGAGCTTTAAGATAATATTTGCTAAGTCTCACAAAACACGGTGAAACACACCAACAGGTACCAAATGCCATTTGTTTATAGTGAAGAATAACTAGTCTTCACCAGAAGATGTATAAACAGTACATGGAGTTTAACAGCCCTGTCAAAATGGACAAAATCTCAAGGTTAACAAAGGCTGACCAAGGTATAATACATAGCCCTTGTCCCGGAAGACATCTTGGAACACACAACAGAAGAGAGCTACACAGCACTGTTTTAAGTGAATTCATTCAGAAAGCACCTCATTTTGAAAGCCTTCAGAGAAGGGTAATCAGCCTGGGTACTACACTTTGAACAATTAAGCCAGTCCTTGCAGCCAGGACACATACCTTCACTTGCCACTGAAAGCACAATTCACAATGTGAACTTTGAACCGTTGGACTATGCTTTTAATTTAATCTCTGCTACTAGCATAACATGCTTCTCCCTGAGTTTGATACAAGTTTGTTCACAGAAAAACCTCAAGAATATCTACAAGTTGATAGTAGGATCAGATGCATTAAAAATAAACTGAAAGTCCACATATAGTACCTCTTCCTTGTAAGTTAAGAATCCTTGAATTTCTCATTTCTTGACATTGATACTGGGAAGTACAGTTGGGAGATAAAGGAGAAGAGTACGTATAGCAAAAAAATGGTTTACCTAAGATCTGGGTAACTGCCACTAATCTTTTGGCATAAGCTCTGAAATCATCCAGTTAGAAGTTTTTCTGATGAACTAATGATTTATCTGCAGAGAGCACCATCCATATCTGCTACCTGGATCTGCCTCAAAAATTCAACAAGAACCACCCTATAAAGACTTAACTCACTCTGGGCATCCAAAACAACAAAGAACTCTTGCCAGAGTCATAGTCCTTCAGACCCCAGCATCAGATTTAGGCCCTCGGGGTGCTGGGTTTGAAAGAACAGTCCAGAGGAAGGGTAGCAGTCTCTTGGAAATATTCTGAACCCAATCCGGTCTGTCCTACTTGTGAAGCAGTAGTTGGAAACAAGTACATGTCACCCAGGAAAGCATTAAAAGCTTTAACAATTCATTAAGATCTCACATTAAAATGCTGTCAGCCTCCTAACTTTAGATTACTCCTGAACTGAAATTGCCCAATCAAAGCTGTTTTTACATATAGGTTTGTATGTTCTGACTGACTTCAGATCCACTCAACTTGATCAAGAAGGTCACATTAATATTTCTACATCACAGTTTCAACACTTTTGTTGGATCAAATGTATGAATATCAGAAGATATCATGTTATTGCTGCAAAGCTAGAAACTCTTCTGCAAGGCAGTACACAACAATTTTATTTCAACAGGCTAGTAGCAGAATCTACAAACATTTGGAACTAAACTGGACCAAGAAGCCGCAGAAGCATAGGCAAAAGTACTTTAAAGAAATAAAAGCTTTACCACAAGCATGAAAGTTTGCTTTCAGGTACAATTTTTAACCAGAATTTGCCTACCTCATTATATCACAGCACAGGGCCATTAACAAAGAAAAGCATAGTAATTTTCCTTCTGTTAATTGTACTTCCTTAAATAAGACTGTAGTGACTAAATTTGGCCTCCTATTCTTCTCACAGGTTTGTTTCTCTAATCAGGGAATGCATACATTAACAAAATAGGTCTCCTTTACAAAAGGAAATTCTGCTTAGTTCCTCAGTACATGTGCATTTTTCAGCCAGACCTAGTGTCCTGGTTTTAGCTGGGGCAGAGTTAGCTTTTCTTTTTAGCAGCTAGAAGAGCTCTGTGTTTTGGATTTAGTCTGGGATTTGTTATGAGAAGAATGCTGATAGCACACTAATGTTTATAGTTGGTAGTGTGTCATCAAGGACCTTTCAGCTTCCCATGTCTTGCCAGCATGCAGAAGCACAACAGGCTGAGGAGGAACATAGCTAGGACAAAGGGCTCACAACTCCCCTTACGATTTAAATTAGATTTAGGACTGGGGGCTAAATTGGCCAATGAAGTATTCCATATCATGCAACATCGTGCCCATTATACAGATGAGGATTGACTGGGAAGTTGGAATTCTTTCATTTTTGGGGAGGACTCTCTCTGTTTCTGCTCAGACTCTGAGTTCTCTCTTTTTTCAGGCCTCTCACTCACCCAGGGTTTTGGTGTCAGGACTTATTTGTTTCAGGATCACTTGCCAGGCCAGGCTTTGGTCACCAGGTGGTGAGCAATTACTGTGCATCACTTGTTTGTATATATTGTTATCGATTATCTATATACAGATATTCATATATTATTATATTACTGTTAATTTTATATTATTATTAAACTTCTTATCTCAACCCACAAGTCTTTCCCTTTTCCTCTTTAATTCTCTTCCCCATTCCCCAGGGGCTGGGGGAGGGTGAGCGAGCAACCGCATGGCATTTAGTGCCAGCCAGGTTAAACCACAACACCTTGTTATATCATTGTTATTTCTCTGCCTAGTCAGGCTTAATACTCAGTATTATTCTTATTGAACTGCTAATATCATGACATATGAAAGGTCTCTTCCATCTTCTATATTCATTTTAATTCTGAACAAACACAGTCTGAAGTCACAAACTTAACAATAACATTGAACAATAGCTTAATTTATTCTGTACTACCACTGAGTGATAAATACAACAAAAACCAAGCAAGAGCTCAATTCTGAAGGCTTCTTATGATTTGTATTTACATGAGCACCAACCAAAAGGCACTGTATTGGCTGCAAGCTAGTTCTGAAGCATTATCAAGGACATGGCAGGTTTTGCTTTGGAAGTAGGGCTGGAAGGGAATACAGTCTTTGAGTCTAGTGTGCAGGCACTTACAATCTTCCCACCCTTGATCTAGGTAGGCTCCAAACCAAACTAAGCTGTTATTCAAGTTACTAATAGGCTCTAATTTGACCTATTTTTAATGGTAGTGTCCTCACAACAGCACTGGGTCGCTACCTTCAAGAACCCTCCCTGAAAATTAAAAAGGCCAATGCTTTAAGCATTGGGAAGAACTCTCACTCATAGTAACGCTTAGAGCAGAATACAGTGAGTACTCAGCTCATTAAAAACACATTGCACAGCAACTCCCTACAGTTTAAGTATATAAAAACAGTACTTCAGTTAAGACAGTATCAGCCAAGAAAAGATACTACTGTATTCCACTCCCCCAAGAGTTTTTCCAGCTTTCTCTCTAAAAAAAGTGCTTATTAACTCACTATAGGTAGATTAACCTAGTAAATATTTATAATTCTTAATGTTTCAGTACCAGAATAAAAGAATATTGGCCAAAAAGGCAATCAAAATAAACTGCAAATGGGCAATGCAATCTGTTTTTGAAGAAAGGGCAACAAATTCCACTCTACAATGCCCCATTATGACATACTAAAAAGCAGCATTTAAGAGATTTATTTATGTCTTCAGTGTGGTACAAACACTCCTTCTAGCACAAGAGAAGGAGTGAATGTTTGAAAATAAGTAGAATACTGAAAATAAATAATAGAAGTGAAAATTGAAAACCAGTTCAAATAACAAATGGAGTTCAGTGCTGTAGTCACAGAACAAGCTCCCAGCTTTCCAAAACACTTGGGCACTAGAACAGGTATCAGTATTGGCTTCAAACACTTTGGCAACCTAAGAGCACCCTCTTTCAACACACGTGCTCCTTTTGAAAAGGCAAGTAACGTTTTTAAGAGTCCATACCTTAAATGTACCATTTTGATTTTTCATATATGAAACCAAGAAGATGTCCACTGGTAGCAGCGCTGACGAGATAAGAGCAACTGCCAAGGCAAAGATCGCTGTTATGGTGGAAACCACTTCGCTTTCCCGCCGACTCTGATACTTGCGCACATAAACCCAGCAGAAAACTAGAATAGCCTGAAAGACACAGATAAAGGTAGTTACGAGCTGCATCATAACGACGTCAGAAAGCAGGTGTTGAACTGAGACCCTGTCCTGATGACTGGCACAGCACCAACACACTTTTCACCCGAGCCCTGAGCATCAGCGTTACATCCCCCACACGCAACTCGCTCGTTGTACCTTCACTAAGAACACCTGGAATAATCAGCAAGAGCAGCGCTCACACGCGAAACGGGCTAAAACAGGAAAAGCAGCGCCGATCACCCGGGCAAGGCTGCCCCGCACCCCCAGCTCCGGGCTGCGCTGTGCCCGACGGCGGCACCGCCGAGAGCTGCAGGGAAGCGCCGGCAGCCGGGGCAGGCTGGGGGGACACAGGCTGAGTGAGGAGGGAAGGCAGGAAGCTCGGAGCTGGAGCAGCAAGAAGCCAAAGAAGGAGGAGAAGTAGGCGGCCCGACGCGGGCTGGCAGAGAGGAAGATGGGGATCCCGCCGGCCCCGGGGAGGGG